GACCTCTTCGGAAGTTCCTAGAGCAGCTAGTTCGGCCGTCTCCTGCTGGTTCGCCGCTTCAGGGCACCGACCTAGCCGCGCTGATTACACCAGAGATCTCATTATTCATTATCTCAGTCTCGAGAGACTGATTTCCTTAGTAGACCTTTTTGGCAGCGTGAACGCTTCTGCCAAATGTGTCTCAGTGGGTCCTGCACACTGTAGAAGAGGCCGAATCAGTTTGGTTCTTCTCCGCCTCGTTTCAACAGGGTCATTCCCACACTGGTGGGCCCCGAGCAGGCTCTGGTAATGGCTCGGGTAATGGAACAAGAAGTTAACCCTCTCTTGAGGAAGGAGGCCATCGAGATGGTCCCTTCTCTCGACAGACAGTTTGGGTTCTACAGCCAGTACTTCATCGTCCCAAAGAAGGATGGAAGTTCCTGAGGTTTGCTTTTGGGGGCAAATGCTTACCGGGTTCTTCCGTCAGCCTTGCACTCTCAACCCGCACTTTCACGAGGTGTGTGGATGCTGCTCTGGCTCCTCTGTGACTCCAGCCCCGAGCAGGCTCTGGTAATGGAACAAGAAGTTAACACTCTCTTGAGGAAGGAGGCCATCGAGATGGTCCCTTCTCTCGACAGACAGTTTGGGTTCTACAGCCAGTACTTCATCGTCCCAAAGAAGGATGGAAGTTCCTGAGGTTTGCTTTTGGGGGCAAATGCTTACCGGGTTCTTCCGTCAGCCTTGCACTCTCAACCCGCACTTTCACGAGGTGTGTGGATGCTGTTCTGGCTCCTCTGTGACTCCAGGGCATCCACATACTCAACCACATCGATGATTGGTTGATATTAGCTCAATCTGAGCAGATGGCGGTTCGGCATCGAGATGTCGTTCACGCTCACTTGTAAGAGCTAGGGTTTAGATTTAACGCCAAGAAAAGTGTGCTTTTCCAGTACAGAGAACCACTTATCTGGGTGTGGTGTGGGATTCGACCACGATGCAGGCACGTCTGACTCCTGCTCGGTTTGAGTCGATCCTCACTGCAGTCTCGAGAGTGAGAGAAGGTCGGTCACTCACTGTCAGCAGTTCCAGAAACTGCTGGGTCTGATAGCAGCTGCCTCCAACGTGATACCTTTTGGCCTGCTGTACATGAGACCCCTACAGTGGTGGCTCAAGACCAAGGGGTTCTCCCTGAGGGGAAACCCGCTCCGCATGCTCAAGGTCACGCGGTGATAGACACCCCCTAGTTACACGTTTCCTCCACGGTGCGCTGAGGCTGAGGCCTCTGGCCAGAGAAGCTTATGCTAAGCGGTGGATCAGGATGCTTTTTCATAGCCTCGAGTCCTCTGATCTCCCCTCTCCTTTAGGGGTCAAGACTCACTCCTTCTGAAGTTGGCCTTCGGGACGCTGCGGGATGTCCCCACCTACTTTGTCAGGTGCCTTCCTGCATTCTGCGCCACTCCTGGCTCCTTTCTCTCGCCTTAGCTGTGCTCTTCCACACTAGGCAAGGATTGGTAAGTCTGGTCGCAACGTCACCCGCCCATGACGTTTCGCCCATCTATTGGACTGATTTCATATGTGATTCAGAGCATTGTCACGCTGGGGGCGTTCCCAAAGCGTTTCCGTCACAGCGTCTTGTTCCCTCGGGGAACCATGGTTACATTCCTAACCTGGAGACATTTTTCCTCATGTCTGTTATTGCAAATTAAGGCACACAGGGCATGAGGATAAATATATTTTCTATGAATTTGACAATCAGAGTTTTATACTGTTTTTCATATCTTCCTGAAATAAAGATGTGGATGAATGTTTTAAGACATCAGAATTCTGTGGTCCAAACTCT